TGTGCATGCTGACAAGGTGTCTACCTCTATAATACCAACTACATACTCGATACTGACCCAGGAAACAGTTGATCGTTGCTGGACATGACCGGTTGCGCGGTCCTTTGGTCGTGCTACACCCAAACTTTGGTTCCATGCAGTCATTGTGGAGCGCACCACATTCAAGCCACCACATTGTCTGAGCTTGATTCAGTAATACGGCGAAATTGTGTTTTCATTTAAAGGTGTGTGCGTGACTCCTTTGATAATACCTGGCTCCCATTCACATTTCCTTAGGTGTTATTCCTTCAGCTTTACAATATATATGGAGTGTGTGCTTGGAGCTGTGTTTTCTTCAGCCCAAGGAACTCATTGTCCCTCTGTAGGCGCAGTTGTCTTGTGGCTGGACACAGTAACCGGTAAATGCGAAGCCGGATGCCGGCAACCTTAAAAATTACGGTAACATCAAAATCCCGTCTTGCGTACGAAGGGCCGCTACAGCCGAACCTCATTACCGTCTAAGTGCGCGGGCTGCGAACTAACTAAACACAATGGCGTATAATCAGGGCACTTCGAATTCTATCTCTCATCGCCTTTTACTTTGACGATGTGCACCAATGCAGACATGCATTCAGATGCGTAGTCAATTTTAGCCGGCCAGCCTTGCTTTATGCACTTCTTGCCTCTCGACCACTGACTTTCTAATCCGTGCGTAAGGTAGGAGGCCACTAATCAACGTAAGTGCAGACGGTCAAGACATTTTCTAATATCCGTCCATATGTACATGTGTACACTAGCATTTGACACCACTTGGTCCTTGTTTCAGCAAGGTAATGGATCAAGAGGATGCCCCAGATGTTGACCAGGGTTTATCATTGCCTCGATAGATTAACACACTCCGCTAATCTTCGGTCTGCTTCTGCGGAATACGAAGTTCGCCTGCATGATTGAAGTCAAAGTAAAAATTCATTTATGTTAAGAAATATGATAGCTGTATTGCTGACTTCGATGGCAGATATGTTAACAGCTAGTTACATAGCAAGATGATCGTTTTCGATGAGGCTAAAATATGAAATTTGTAGACAAAACCTCTGTGCGACTGTATTGGCTACCGCAGTGAATTTATTCATGTGGTGTTCAGATTATCGTTGCCCACAATATAGTTAAATTTAGCACGTTTATTTTGCTTATTTACGATTTTGACACAACAAGATCTTATTTGGCCTTAGCTTGCCAAAAAGCCACAGGCTGCAATTTCTGATTTCTGGAAATAATCAGTGAGACTCGTCCATCAAAACACTCAGGGTGCGAACTCTTGAGCACAGGTGGTTTGCACTGCGATTCAGCTTCTATTATTGTTGAGCCGCGTGCAGCAGCTTTGGATCGTCATGATTTACAAGCTAACCGTGAAACAGCACGTTAAATCCTCTAATATCATGCATATGAGCAAGGTTACACATGAGAGCGTTGGCTCCGAGACGGGCGAGGCTACATACCGACACATTTGCTAACCGTCAACGACGGACAAATTCATGAATGACATTGCTTGCGCATTCAACGGTTAAATGTTTAAACAACGTTTATTTAGTAGGATATATTTAAGTAATTGTTACGAAATGACTGTTGTGTTAATTGTCTTTATTCCGGGCTGAATGTACCTGCATTATAAGAGCTGCTGGTGAATTAATTCATAATAGGCTGTAACAACTTACCGACCAATTCAAAGGAGTGTTGCTTGCTTTTGTAAGTTCAAACTAGATTGTATTACTCCATTACACATGTGAAGTTATCTTAAATTACATGAAGCTTGATGTATTCAATAATTTGAAAATCAAACACGGTAGTGTTTACTGAATTATGGTTCTACTGATTGAGCTGATCATGCCCAATCACGCTCTCTGAGCTCAATGTCATATAAATTGAAACACATTCTAACAAGTATCAGTTATGCATTAGCGTTTTCTAATAGCTGCTGAAATACAACAACGGATAATCAGATAACCTAATTATGATCGTCATCAGTATCCGAGTTATATTTCTATGGAACTGAGAATTACAACCCAATTAAGCTTGGCAGGTGAATAAAGTGACTTTTGCGTGGAACGACAGCACTATTGGTCGCAGGAGCTTTGTTTCCACTGGTTGTTAACTATTACAGTCCTGCTGAGGAATCTAAATGTAAGAAAACCTGACTAATCATCCTCTCCTCTACGATAATAAAATTCACCGTCTTTAACGTCGATCACAAGCCACTGCGAAAAGGTTTTCCTTGCAAAAGAACAAATCTCAAGCAAATTCATGGATGTAAAGTCATCTAAATTAACCGGAATTCGCTGAGAAACAAACCACTTAAGCATAAGCTGGGCTACCAGATTTTCCTTAATTCACATGATGTTTGCTAATGAAATAATCATTGCTGAATGCGCATTAGTGCATGATTTTTCAGGAAAAAAATACGAAAGTTTAAATTGTATCATTAAGGTTGACTACTCTTTCAAACAATGCCTCTTCATTTATGCAAACAGTAATGTAGCTTTATTTTAAATAACTATTAAACTAGATTTCAAATTAATGCGGATTCTCCGGTAACCATTCGGCAAACACTTTTTTCGGTCACCGAAATGATATTGAAGAAAAGGAAGATCTCAGTAATAAGAATTGTCCTGCATACGTAAAAAATACGTTGATAAACCATACATGTTTTAACGATAAATACTGGGCGGAAAAGTTACAAAAGCAGGCTAAATATAAGGACACATTCTGGACTGCGATTAGAAACACCTGTCTAAAGAGCAAACATTTATCATTTAGGTGAAAACGCGCCGTCATGCAATCGAGTAATTCGATATCAGACAATAAAGTCAAGGTAACGTCGCCATTAGCATCAATTGGCGAAGCTCAAAGCTGTACCGGGTATCCTATATAAAGTAGCATAAATGCAGTCCATATTTCAACGACCGTTGGGTGAACGTTAGCAAGGTACCATAAACACGCACCACGTGAATGAGAGAGCATTCAGTTGTTTTCGGCATAGTAGTTCCCCTAAATATCACCAACGGGATCTATGGGAAACACTATGCATACATTGAAAATACACTGTACGGTCTAGGATTAACTTACTTCACTTAATTCAGCCATCTCCATGGACAGCCAAATGCCCGGGCCAGGTTAAACTGATTCGTTGTGAATTCAGAGAGGAAATAACAATGTAGCAACAGTGCAAACATGTGGAAATAGACTTCCATTTATATTGCATTAAAAACCATTTATGCGGACGTAGTTCAAAAAACAATTATTAAATCGCGCCTATTGTTTTGCATATATCCTTAACATAATTTAAGTTGCATAAAATCATACGTCATCTAGTCAGGCTACACTTATTTTCTGGAGAAAGTTTGTCCTCCATCAATTGCCGCTCATAATCCCTAGAGATCGCCTAGAGGCAATCTAATTTCCCCAATGTATAAACGAAGACAAGTCACCTGCTTTGGCATATGCGTGCCTTAAACTAGATGTCGTTATGCGCATATTGCAATCGCTTCTCCGATGTTACTTCAAGAGCAAAAGGAGACCGATTTTTATTCAGTTTCTCTTGAAACCATGATTTGAATACCGTGGTTACTATGTTAGGTTGCCTTACAGAAGCACATGAAACTCTACGTAGATCAGCATGTGCTGACCTTCCGATGGAACTCCAAAAAATTATGGTCAATAGAACACGGTATTTAAAGTATTATTTTATTCCATTATGATGCAAAATCTTTGAACTTATATAACAACAACCTATAGATTTTGACGAAAATTATCAGGAGGAATGGTCCCTTTGTTTAGTTTACGAATGCTTACAGCATGCTGTGATAAAATGGATACGGTTTAATGTCCGTTATGATTATAAACAATTGTGATTTATGTGTAAAATAAGGTAGGTTGCTAGAAGATTTTCACCACAAATATGAAAGTACTTGATAGCTAGCTTGATAAGGTGCTGCAAAAATTTAGGCGGCTGACTTTCTGAATGCTCAATGACAGATAGAACAAAATTGCTTAACGTGACAACGTGATTTAAAAAATGTATTTATTTCTTCGGTGTCATGAATGATTCCTCCAATTCAACCTGCTTTTGGATGAGTGTGATAACCAATACTGTCGGCAAACTTTTAATAGGATGCATCATGTAAGGAGCATTATAGCGCACAACTATTTTATATGTCGGGGTGCACGAACAGACAGAAGATTTTGTTTGACACAAGTTTAACATATTTAGTTTGATTTAACAGAGCTTTATTTCGCGCATCTTCAATGACTGAAAAAACATTGTTAAACACTGTTCCTTCTGGCGTCAGTATTATTTAGTCCCACACAATATTTCATTTCTGCAGTACTTTTATATGGCTACGAAAAGTAACTCCTCCATGAAAACATCGTCCAGAGACGGTCTGTTAACGATCACCGTTTTTTCTGTACTCACGTAATTTTCCGTTGAAATTATTGCAAAACTAATAACGACGATGACTTTGTATGTTCAATACCGAACGTGATAAAAGCGATCACGGAGCGGCATATTTATGTACAAAGGGCCAAATAACAAGGGCGCCATATCCGTACGGTTGTCCGCAACACACATTTGCATGTGTCGGTGTTGACTGAATGCAAGATGTAGTTGGCAAATACTCAAAGCGCTACCAGTGTGTAAAGCGCTAACGAGAATCTGGCAAAATCCGCTTTGTACAAAGTACCAAATTAGGAGCCCATTGCCAGGGAGCAAATCTTGTTCAAAACGCGTGCTATCATGATTTACATTCCCAATACGTAGAGCATATTTCTTGTTACTCACCCAACCTGACCGCAATGTTTATCCGCACGTTCTTTTCGTTTTGTGTTGCAAAGTATTCAGGCATTACTATATATATAATATATATATACATTCACGAAAATCAAAAACAACGTTCTCCTTTGTTTAATTTTTACTTGCTTTTTTGATCAGTGGTATCTACTAACCAACCGCTTGTTTCCCATCCAAGATCAATGAAGGCCAAATTGGAATGTCTCTACACACTCTTGCATGACAACTGTCCACCAGATGCAGTTCGGTTGATTATGAATTATTTCATGGAAACACTTCCCGATGGCTGTCTGTTCAGTTATGATGATCGTCTGCTCCGACATTTACAAAGCAAAAGTTTCGATACCGGTGAAACGCAAAATGCCCATGATAATGGCGTTTTCTTGAAATTGAGAAAAAGTGGAACAGAAGCTGCAATACAAAGTACAACCCTGCATGAAAGAAATCGTGGAACAATGCAAAGCACTCAACAACGACTCCACAAAATTATCAGCGTAACGTTAACAACGATTATCCTTTGGAATTCTATCGCTGCCTGATCTTGATGTACTCAATGCATATTTCCATCTGCAATAACTTACATAAATATAACGCGGGTTATTTTATTTTAAATCATAAGTTACGATGGGATGATGTGGCTTTTATAAAGTTAAAGTGTTTTGCATAATGTTCTTCTAATTACCACTCTTTTATCTCACTGAACCTTATGGATTGGCAGGGAAAACGTGTATTTTGATAGGTTTGGGTCAGCTAGAAGCAAACAGGCAGCTTTTATACGAATAAAAAGCGCTAGACGACCACATTATCTTATTAGTTTTGACGATATCTTGTAATAGACAAATCATGCCGCACCCAGTTTCATCACCTTAATTTCATGGACAGCGAAAATTGTCGCTCTACCATGGTTGACGGTGGCTCACCCACGTGATCAACTTGTAGCTGCAGAATAGCGCGGCTCCTACTGCATTTTACGAATGTGCAGGCGACAGTTTTTCGATATTTACGTAACAACTTTGGCGCAAATCTTTAAATAGACACTCCTAAATAACACATCAATATGTCAGATCAAGAAGAACTTTGACATCAATGGATATAACCACGATGGCTCAGAGACAAAAGTGTTAATGTTTATAAAATTTTCGTAATGTGATGTTCTGTGCAAAACAGCACAGATAATGAAGAAACAGGGGGTTGTTCTTCGTGAATCTGGCTATTACGGGCGCGATTCTCTCTATGTAGGATGACATAGGCAGGTAACGACTTAACACTAGAACTAAGACTATCCGATCTATATTTGTTGCCAGTTTCGCCGTTTTCCCATTCAGGCGTATTACATTTTGATAGGCCTGAATTTGTTCTAATTTCCTTTGATGGAATGTTTAATTCTAATCAGTAATATGCCAGATAAATAATGCAGGTGCCAGGTGTACAAACACTGCTCATCCACTGCTTTTGGTGGAAGCCTACTCAGTCAGCGTGCATGCGTATTTTGACAAGGATTTATAAAATCTCGTTTTGGCGCTTCTCTGTTCGCATACAGGGTATTTCAGACGTCCATGGAAAGCGTTTTCAGATCATCACATACCATTAGACCATCAGAGTCCACGGGAGTACTCCAAGTCAAACGATGTTTTTGTGCATATCCTATCATCACAAGAGGTCAAAAAGTAACCAAATGTCTTTCATGATTCGAGCGGACTGTATTTTCACCCTAGCGGGAGCAATGTAAGTGATAGCTAACAAAAAACAGACTAGCATCTAAACACTGATTCAACAGCAGTTCACCGTTATAAGTACAAGAGCTTCGTGTGTAGAAAATTCCATACCGCTTTTCTCTTTGTACCACAATTTAGTATAGTATTACATTTTCCGATAAATAAGATGCGCGTTATTATTGTTATGGAAGTCAACGTTATTCTGGAAAATGCAACCGTTTTTAATTGCGCTAGCATGAACAACAAATGACACCGATTTTCACCGGCGACAACCTAGCTTGGACAAGCAAGCCAATAAGACGGCGCGCGTCCGGAATCGATCAGCACAGCTTTAACCCCAGAGTAAATGGTAATGCTTAACCACCTTGACAGGTATATGAATCAACTGTTTCTCCTAGCAAATGCAGTCAGTAATTGACTAATGCGGCGTTTGTGAGCCACAAAGTGCTCTACTATTGCAAGTGTATGAGCTTATCACGGAAGGTACGCATGTAAATATGTTCTGGGATAAAATTATTGCTGCAATTCGACCTGTCTAAAAAGAATTACGCAATTTGAGAATTCCTTTTCATGATGAAAGTCTACAAACTGAAACGAATAGACTGAATTTATCCGCTTCATCAAACGTAAGAATTTCGACTTTTTAGCTGCGGAATCCAGCGATTTCGATTAAACATTTAACAAAAGCAACTCTCGAAGGAAACTAGGGTAGAATTCAAATTTTGGTGTTGAAAAGTGGGAGATAAAATTGAAATATGAAAGCAACGTCAGTTACGAAAAAGTGAAAACTGGGAAATATAAAAATAAAAATAATTGAGTAGCAGAGACTTTACCTCCATCTACCCAGCGTATTCGGTACAGTTCTCCCTGGACATCAAGAATCTCAATAATAGTTTGTGGCTCATATCAATATGTAGGGTGGTTATTCCACGTTCAATTTTAAGGGTATATGCAGTAGAACGAATAAGATTAACAACCAAAGCATTTGCTTAAAAGTACTGACTAGAAGGCAGTTAATATTTTAGTCAGCTAAAATAGTCAATTTGACCATTAAGAGGTCAACAAATACTCCATCCTTAACCTGCGTTTCCAGGAATTTGTGTTTGTAAAACCTTTAAGCAATGAAGAAAAAGTATGGGTGGTTATGTAGACGACAAAGAATCACACAGGCAAGCTTAGTGGATTGTTCAGGTACACAAACGATAGCAAAAACTCAAGTTCCACTCCGTTCTCGATGGAGCCAAATTGTCTATTGAACGAAGATTTAAACTACCGTGTGTAACCGTAGTTTTGGTAGTACCCTGATGCGAACCTCACGCCCAATATGCAGCACGTGTTGAAATAGTTTCGGATTTAACTACTGTTATTTAATCAAAGAAAACTGAATTTTAAAGAGGTTACAGAAACCTCGATGGCAAAGGAACTATGAACGCACTGACAAAATATGTTGTACATATATTTTCCAAAATTCAGATTGCGCGCTCCGAATAAGCAGGCTCTTTTTTAGACGGTTTGGTTCCAAAGTCATCAGGGCGTCCTTCCTGTGGTTGCTAACTTTCACTATAGTAATAAATATAGCTATTAAGAAACAGAAACTCTATAGAAATATGAGCAGGTGTATGTAAACCGCATGCTAAAACTACAATTTCAAAATAACAGAGTAATGCGTAAAATCATCTTATAACCTAATTGCAGTGAAAAATGCCAGATGTGGAAGGAGTCAATTTGCACGCGTACTGATTATGGATATGAAGACAACTGATATATACAATGCAGCTTTTTGGCCAAACACTTCAGAAGAGGCTTACATAAAAATGGAACATAAGCAAAGTTCTATCGAAAACATTTGCACGTAAACACAACCGTTAATGCCGGAATGTCAAAAAATGACAATGCAAAACATGGGGATAACAAGGCCAGTTCAAATCGTAATGAACTTCAAGCGAAAAGGATACACGTGAAATGCAATGTAATGCGGCGCACATACAGAATTTTGTTTACGCGATCCGTTACTTATTTTATTGATGGTGTGTGACGCATGGCCACGCGTTATCAGCTGCCCAAATAGCTTGATTCAAATATCCATACACACTGAGAACCGCCTCTTCTGTTGCAGGTATTGAATTCAAGTCTATATTACTTTAAAATGTCAGCATTAATCACGCCACACCTCCGAATCGCATGTTTTCAAAACTTGCGCTTGAAAAGTATTATGCTAGCAGAAATTCCTTTTATTTATAATCCTGGGCATATCATATGAATGATGTCTCAAAGCTGCGCGTGTGTATGAAAGACCAAATCTTCCCTTCCGTATACCTTACGGTTAACCACGCAAGCAGATAATCATCCGTCATTACGCTAGGCTGTCTTGTTTTTGGCGTCGCGCACGCTCAGACTGTTCTCCAATTGTTTTAACTGTATAAAAACGTACCGTCCGTTGATGAGCCCTATACCTCTGTGGATAGTGCTGCGTTAGCGATCAGTTAATTATGCGTTTGTCCAAACCTACTATGCGGACGAGGAATAGTCACTTGCCAACAAGAAATGTTCCGCGATTAGGACTAGAGATATGTCTGGGACGGTAATACATGATTTTCTTCGTCTCCCATATTGTGATCCGATAACCAACTCGCGAGGATTGCACTATTTTCACACGTCATAGCCTAAGTGTTTGCTCTCTATCCTATGGCGCTTAAGAATAGCCAACCGCAGAGCAGCCTATGCTAGTCTTCTCAGCGCGTGAGTCTACTTGTCTACCGTTACTGAATAATAGACTCACTGCGCGCCGTCTATTTCATGACGCGCAAGGTAGGAGAACCGCGCCCACACGCTCTACTAATTCCGCCACGGCTAATGCGCTGTACAATACGAGCTGGCAGACTGGCTTAACACAGTACTGTCGTGCACATCTCTTGGCTGATGAACGATAGCCCAACAAGGAAGTGGCTGGCGAACCAATGTATCGAATGTTTCAGCTAAGGGTTTGTTGTCCATCTGTAGTGATATCCAAGTATGCCTTTCATGTGCATTCGATCAGGTTGTCGGCTGCGTCTCATTCCAAGACTGGGCTTTAAGATTTGCAGTTTGGGTAGAGTCAGCACCTCGAATACTGCCACACCAGATAGAAGAGTGACACGTGTGACGATGAGCACATGTGCATTTGTACAGAGGTTTGCAGTAAAAACACAAGATGTGGATTATAGTTTGTGTTTAGCAAGAACGCTTTAGGTTCCATTCAGACACACAATGGTGCGGCATAGAATATGCTGCTAGAACTGTTTTTCTGACTACCTATACATGATCTGCGATACCATATTTTCTGGCCTTTGAAGTCGGATATCAAGGACCAATCAGCTTGTTTCTGTGGAGTATTACATATAGTTGATGTCATTACCGGAGCTACAACCTGATAATTCCTTCAAACAATCTCTTGCATTTAGCAGCTTGCTATGCGTGATAAATGTATTCATGCAGCCCGAGTGCCAGTAGCAAGTATTTTTATTATAGTCCAATGGAAGCACAGTGAAGATCGATTCCATCATTTTGAGAGCCCAGGCAATAGGGTTACATGCCGACCATTTGCAAAGTCTGAACATCGGTCTTTGGTAAATGTTAGTGTGGTATTAAATAAAAATGAACAATGACTTATCACGGAAGAGAAGCAAGTGCTTGACACGTCTCGCATGATGGTTAAGGTGAATACGATGAAAGCAAAGTATATATGGGTCATCTACCAAACGTGTAACAAGATGAGTGCTTTTAAAATCACATCAGTGTAAAATTAAAATCAATTGTGAGTAAACATTCATAAATACACC